CTAGTAAAAATCTAATGATGTCGATACCTGTTTAATAAAACGGCAACAAAACTAGAAGTCGTAAGTAGTGTTGAAGTCAAGGCCACACCGAGACCAAGATGTACCCGAGACCAGAGTACTCCGAGACAAGACCAAGACATTTAGGGATCAAGACCAACACCAAGGCAGGGCGAGACCGAGACAAGACTGGTCTTGAGTACTTCCACACGCTGTGTAACTTGAACTTCTTTCTTTTCTATTTGCAGAAAGAACAGAACGTTTGGAGCCTCTGTTGGTCTGAGATGTTCTCTCTACATGTTCAGTAGTTTATACAGTCCACTGTCCACACACACATTACATCATCAATATATTTACACCACAGTTTGATATCTGTGGTAAAAAAAAAAAAGGGGAGATGTGGGCGGGGTTTAGGATCAAGTCGTGGTTGAGTAATCCCACAGAGAGATTTGTAATGGATGGTGATGCCATGCTGAGGTTCTGAACGGAGCCTCAGGACCCTCCACGACTCCTTAAGGAGAAAACCAGGAACACACATCTCTGATATTTCTGAACCAATTACATTTATTTAATGAAACAGAGTGCAGCAATAAAATAATAACTTTATTTAAAAACACAGGTTTACAAAGTGCTTTGACAAACAAAAAAAACAAGAACAAACTAAACCAAACACAGAAGAACATAAACAACAACAAGAACATAACAAATGTAAAATACTAAAAATAATTAAATACAATTCAACAGAAAAGAACCCAAAGTGCACGATACCCAACAGACATACAGAACCCGACTATTACAAGAACCATCACAAGAACCATCACAAGAACCATCACAAGAACCATCATAAGAACCAACACAAGAACCATCATAAGAACCATCAAAAGAACCATCATAAGAACCATCACAAGAACCATCACAAGAACAATCACAAGAACCATCATAAGACCATCACAAGAACCATCATAAGAACCATCACAAGAACCATCACAAGAACCATCACAAGAACCATCATAAGGACCATCACAAGAACCATCATAAGAACCATCACAAGAACCATCACAAGGACCATCACAAGAACCATCACAAGAACCATCATAAGGACCATCACAAGAACCATCATAAGAACCATCACAAGAACCATCACAAGAACAATCATAAGAACCATCACAAGAACCATCACAAGAACAATCATAAGACCATCACAAGAACCATCACAAGAACCATCACAAGAACCATCACAAGAACCATCATAAGGACCATCACAAGAACCATCACAAGAACCATCATAAGGACCATCACAAGAACCATCATAAGAACCATCACAAGAACCATCACAAGAACAATCAGAAGAACCATCATAAGGACCATCACAAGAACCATCATAAGAACCATCACAAGAACCATCACAAGAACCATCACAAGAACCAACACAAGAACCATCACAAGAACCCAGGAAACACGAGGACCATCATAAGAACCATCACAAGAACCAACACAAGAACCCAGGAAACACGAGGACCATCATAAGAACCATCACAAGAACCAACACAAGAACCATCACAAGAACCATCACAAGAACCATCATAAGAACCATCACAAGAACCATCACAAGAACCATTATAAGAACCATCACAAGAACCATCATAAGAACCATCACAAGAACCATCACAAGAACCATCACAAGAACCATCATAAGAACCATCAGAAAAACCATCACAAGAACCATCATAAGAACCATCACAAGAACCATCATTAGAACCCAGGCAACACAAGAACCATCATTAGAACCCAGGCAACACAAGAACCCAACAACACGAGCTGAGACCAAGAGGACCAAAGATTTAAAAAGATGTAAGAAACTAAAAAAGCTCAAAATAAATCCAAAGATAACAGCAATAAGAAGGTAAGAGCAGGAAAAGAAACAAGTGAATCAATTATCTAAAAAAACAATAATATTAATAATGATAAAAAGTAAATATAAATATAAAACATAAATAGACAAAGTAAGACAAGAAATGACCAAGTTAAAACACAAGAGGAGTTAAGATAAGAGCATAAATAAAAGG